AGTACAATAATATATATTGTACTACTCCCTGGTTCAGATGGTCGCAAGACCGGGACTCGGCCAACCGGGTTATGGTTGTAGTCAGGAGCACTACGCGTCCTCGCCTTGTAACATGCTGTCAACATCGAAAAACATGTTCCAATCAAGGCTTCTGTATATACCAAATCCCTATCTAGTAGGGCGCAGTCACCCAGTTTCGGTGGAAGTGCGCGAGTTCGATTGGGATTCAAGTAGGAAGGGAGCGTCGCAGCTTCCTCGGACCAAGACCATTCGACTCAGCACCCAGAAGACTACAACTGGTGAAAATTTGATTTTAGGGTATACTTCCCCTTTAAAGATTTGTTTGAAGAGCTGATGACAATTCGAACACCCCCTATGTCTCTCCCTCTAAATACTATACTGGAGAGGGCACTCCTGTGAGGATGCGTTAACTCTCGCAGTAAACCGCTGGATGAGTGTGGACAAGGGCGAGTATTGCGGGGTTGTACTCGTGGACATGAGCAAGGCCTTCGATCGGGTACGCCATGAACTACTACTTAAGGTGGCAGTCTGGGTTCAGAGGGTCAAAAAACAAAGTTTCGATTTTCTGTATTTTTTCACTGGCAGCGTCTTGTGTATGGTCCAAAGGGTTTATCCTGAAAATTTGAGCGTAATCGGGTGCTTCCTTCCGGAGATATAGCCGCGCAAAGTCTGCACAATTGTTTTTGAAATACTGAAATATCAGCAAATTTCTACAAAATTTAGGTTTGCACACTATTCCGATTTTTACCGTCAATCTTTGAGCGATTTCATTAAAATTTTCTGGAGCGACTCCTGGTACTCCTCTGCGCTGCAGACTGACAGCCGCGCACGATGTTTGTCACCATGGCAACCAAGATAACTTTTGCGCATGCGCAAATTCAAAAAAATTCAAATTTCGACTCTCATGATCTCAGCTGATCGCTCTGCTGTTGAAACTAGTTTCTTTTGGAGTAATTGTTTTGGAGTAATTGTTTCTTGGAGCTAACCCCTTCGTTGGCTACTATGGGGAAGTCTAGAGCCAAGGGAAAGCCCGGACGATCTAAGAAAAGGAAAAGAACGTTCTATGGAGTGTCTCAGGCGCCGAAGGCTCCCTCTGGTGAGCCTTCGCCTGCAGAACAAATTCCTGACTTGCCACTGTCTGATGACGACCTTGAAGTGCCAGCTGAAGCCACGTCTTCAAACAGCGATAGTGATGGAAGTGGCGGTGAAGTCGACAGCAGTTCCTCCGACAGTGACTTGGATGAAGAGTGTGAGGAAGGGGCGCATGGATTTCGCCTGATTGATCTCGAGTGCCTTCAGCAGCTTTTGTCAGCTGCAGTTTGTTGCAGTGGCTGTAATGGCGCAGTCACGATCAGCGAATCGCAACGGGGAGGCCTTGCATCATGCCTGGAGCTTTCCTGTGTTAACTGCGGCGACATAGCAAGCGAATTTATGTCCAAGAAGTTCAATCGGGTCTGGGAGGTGAACAGACGAGCAGTATTCGGAATGCGACTGATTGGCCGTGGACGTCAATCAATGGTAAAGCTGGCGGGTGCACTGAATATGCCATCACCTATGAGTCGGTCGACATTTTACAGCCATGCTAAAGGCCTGCATTCCGCGTCCAAGAGCGTCGCTGAGCGTAGCATGACTGAGGCAGCTGAGAAAGCAGTGTCCGCAGCAGATGGGGGTAGCGATATCGCTGCTTCCTATGACGGTACCTGGATGCGCCGAGGATTCGCATCGTTCTTCGGAGCCTTCACTATAATTGCATATGATGTCGGCAAAGTGGTGGACTGCGAAGTGCTTTCAAAGTTTTGCCACAAGTGCACGCACTTGGCGTCTAGAAAAGAGAAGGGAGAGCTAACCAAAGATGACTATGATCGACAGATTGCCGAACACGATTGCTCAGTCAACACCACTGTATCAGCTCCTGCCATGGAGAGTGCAGCCGCCAAGACTCTGTGGGCCAGGTCCTTTGAGAGCCGCAAGCTGAGGTACACCACCTACATTGGTGATGGAGATACCAAGAGTTTTAAGGCTGTGCGTGACGCTTGTCCGTATGGGCCCGAGGTGCCTGTAGTCAAGGAGGAATGTGTCGGCCACGTTCAAAAACGCATCGGTACCAGCCTAAGAAAGCTGAAGAAAAACCTTGCGGGCAAGAAGCTTGCTGATGGGCGCACTATAGGCGGACGTGGTCGCCTCACGGATGCCATGATCGACAAGCTGCAAGCCTACTATGGCATGGCTGTGCGGAACAACAGCGGAGACTTGCAAGCCATGGCCAGGGCCATATGGGCATCCCTCATGCATCGTGCATCCAGCGACAGTAAACCTCAGCACCAGTATTGTCCGCCTGGAATTAACAGCTGGTGTAGATGGCAGCAGCAACAGGCAGGTGGTGATGTCTACGCCCACCACAATATCCTGCCAGAGGCAGTATGGAAGGAACTGAAGCCGGTCTACATTCGGTTGTCCGACCGGAGTTTGCTCGAGCGCTGCCAGAAGGGTGCTACGCAGAATCGCAACGAAGCGTTCAATGGACTCGTGTGGCAGTTGTGTCCAAAGACAGGCTTTGCATCCGCTCCCACTGTCCAGATGTGCGTCTACCTGGCCGTGGCCTGGTTCAATGATGGAGGTGTGGCAGTGAAACGCGTTCTGGACGAGATGGGCCTCCCTACTGGACACCATACGACACGTCTCATCAAGCTGCTAGACCGTGAGAGACAGGCACATGCTGCCAGAAAGAAGTCAGAAGAAGGGAAGAGGTCACGAAAGAAGCGAAGGAGGATCAGGAAGGGCATCCAGGATGAGCAGCAAGAGGAAGAAGGTTTGACATATGAAGCTGGTGGCTTCGACTAAGTTCTAGTAAGTTCTAGTTGGACAGACATACCTCCATCTGTACTTGCACAGAGCACTTTTTTCTCCATTTTCCACTGAGTCCCGTACCTCTTAGACAGCGTAGCGAAGAACCTGTAAGTCACAGACCCCATAAACCATACATTTTTGGAAACTGTGAGCATTTATCAAGGTGCTAAGTGTCATGGATTTTTATATTTGTCTAGTAGCTTTGAGTAAAGTGCTACTGATCGAGGACCTAAATTTTGCGCGATTGCATGATTTTTGTTTGACAGCTTGAGTACTTTGTTCTGAATATGATTTCAAAATTCCGCTCCACTTAGCACCTAGGTATATGTGAAGGAAATCCTGTGGAGCACTCAGTTTCTACCCAGCTTCTTTCTGCGTTTGCATATTGCGTCTAAGGTATTGGTGGTACGGCATAATCGCAGATTTGACTATTGTGTCTGCGGATTCCCATGTGTGAGCTTGATTTATACTTCATTGGACTTAGTGAAATACACTGGGTATGTGGTCAAGATTTGAGCAAAATTCATCAATTATTATGGAAGTTACGGCTGTGTTCATGCGGTCGGGCCGCGAACCCAGACTGCCACCTTAACGAGCTTCAAGCTATTGGCATAAGCGGAGTAGCACTACAGTGGTTCTCCAGCTATCTCCAGGGTCGACGACAAGAGGTGAAAATTGGAAATAACAGAGGAGACGAGACGCATTGTACACGAGGCGTTCCGCAAGGGTCGGTGCTAGGGCCTCTGTTATTCTCTTTGTACGTGCGACATGTCCCTGGAGTACTTCGCCACGCAGAGTCCCAACAGTATGCTGACGATATCGCCTTTTACATACACTGGCAGTCTACTGGAGAACTTCAGCATAAGTTGACAAGTGAGTTGAACAGACTAAATACGTACCTTGGAAGCATTGGTCTCATGTTGAATGCCCAGAAAACGAAGTTCATGGTGCTTCGGAAGAAGGCTCTGCCTCTTCCTCCGGATCTTACCATTGCATGCGGTGGTGTCGATATTCGACCTTCTGCCACAGCGCGTTATCTTGGCCTCATTATTGACCAACACCTCACCTTTGAGGATCAAGTCAACCATGTATGTATATCTGTTTATAAGAAGATAGGAGCATTCCGCCGCTGCCGCCGTACAGTAGACCACACAACTAAGCGAATATTTTATTTATCCCTCATCCAATCCACTATTGAATACGCCAGCAACTCGTATGCTCACTGTCTTACACCATCTTTATACTCTCGCCTTGTTACTTTAAGTCATATCAGCATGAAAAAGGTTTTTGGTCTCCCTCGCCGTACCCCGACTGTCTTTGTTTTGCGGCACGCTAAGTTATCATGGTTATACTCCCTCGAATCTCGTCTAAACTTGAGGCTTTTTATTTTTGTTTTCCGCTGTATTCATCAGCTTACAAGTCCTCTTCTTTCCTCAATGTTCACCCTCCAGTCGGCTGCTACTTGCACCGAGAGGCGCACTAGAGGGCAATCATTCTCTTCACTTTCTTTGCCCGCTGCTACCACTAGATATGGCATGTTCTCTATTTCTTTCCTTGGCGCTGATAGGTGGAATTCTCTGCCTGTCTCGTGTCGTCAGGTTGAGCATCTATCCGTCTTCGTTTCGCTCTGTAAAGAGCACTTAGGGTTCCCTGTAACAAGACGGCAACGTCTGTAGGGCCTTCCCTATCAAAATAATAAATTCTACTACTATTCTACTACTATACTATAATAGTCTATAAATTATAATACATGTGCCTGTTGCTAGCGTAGCTGTTGGGGAACGAGTGCAACAACGAGGGGTCACGGGTGCGAGTCAACCCCTGTGACACGGATTTCTGTGCCGTGTCACCTCCCTAGTTTGAGTACGACTCCCTGATGTACATGTAGATCCTCTGACTGAGTCCTCTCATCTTGCCTTGTCATGTCAGTCTAGTTGTCTGCATGATAAATCTCTGCCTCTGCCTCTGTACTGCTGTCTCTGCCTCTGGTCTGTTCTAGACTATGACTCGAGTGTGAGTCTGATCTTGTACGGTATCCATGGTATGCCATGGAAACAGATATGGCGATCGTAAATCAAACGAAAAGTGCAAAGTAGCTTTTTTGTTTGTGCTTTTTTGTGTAATTATTTCTCAAGTACAGTCATTGTACGGCCCACACTCGTACTCAGCCTCAGGTACTGAGGTCGTGAGGGCTGAGCTGAGGTAGCTGCAATACCATACTATTACTAGCTCCTTCTCTAGTTTAGTTGGACTAAAACTATCTATGCAGCTTGAAATTTCCTTTCTCCTTCAAGTTAGTTAGCAAAATATCGGCGCCACGTACACCTCCGTGGCATATATATTGCTGAAGACAGCGACTTATTTTATCAAGTCAAATCATTTCTGGCGAATACTGATGCATTGTGATTAGCATGTTGGTCCAGTGGCTTCTCTGTTGGTCACTGTTGGCATTCTTGTGCCTCCATGTGGCCGCTCAGTACCACCCAGAAGGCAGGCCTGACCCTCCAGGTACTCCCAAGAGAACCAAGACAAAGTACAGTGCAGTACCAGAGGAAGCTAATTATCTGAAATGTGACGTGTGCAAGAAATCCGTACGAGTTTTGTTTCAAACGGTGGCGGAGCAGCAGCAAACCCGCAAAAAGAAAAAGAAGGTACAGTCCCACACAGCACACTATAAAATTGAAATCATTGAAACAGAAAATTGTGGCATGCGATCAACCGTAGAGCCTTTGCATTGGACGGTCCGCTGCACTGCCCTTGAGAAAAATAGGATCAGCAGAGAAAACCTCTACTGTCAGACCTCGCTTATCCAGTCCTCTTTTATCCGGATCCCTTACCATCCGGAAGAAAATCGTTGGTTACCGATTTACAGCATATGCCATGCATACATACTGTATGTGTGTTTGATTATCCGGTTCCCTCGCCTATCCGGATATATTTATCGAATACGGATATGCGTGGTTATGCGAGGTCTGACTTTATGTGGGATTTGCTTTGCATTGAATGGATATGGGAGGCCTTCTGGGTGGCCTTCTTTAGCTTCGGCCAGAAAGACAAATGCTCGTGCTGCCCGAAGCCCTGTGGTGCTGGCATTTTACTGTTCTCGTATGCACTTCGTGCACCCATTATTCTCCAGCTGCTCTCCACTAAATTTGATTCGGATCCCTCGGGTGCAGCGTCCCGCGGACTGTCCATATGAAGATGGTGTATTGATCTTATGTTATACTGTACATGTACTTGATTTCTTGAAGCATAGGAGTGGAGAATAGGAAAGTAGATTAAGTCATGTAAAGAGACTACCCCAAGCATACATTTTGTGCGAGCAAATACTCGACTGTGACAATTGCAGTGGTTCTAGCTTGTACACTGTTGTATGTAGCTAATATACTACTAGTCCAGAGTACATGTACATGTATACTGTACCTGACCTAGTACGGGGCTGTGTTACCAGTTCCTACAGGTAGACATACCGGAATGGCTTCTTCTCATCTGACATGTTCAACTTCTGGTACTGTGCTGCAGATGACGGAAGAGGAAATTCTGGAATTGGTCGAGGGCACGTGTAAGCCTTTCTCTTCTAGTGGAGGCTGGATATTATCAACAGACCTGGTGCAGCCAGAGGAAGACACGCTCGAGGTTAGTAGAATTTCCTGGCTGTTCACCAGTGACAGTTGTTCTCTTGCGGTACAGTCATGTACAAGCGCTGCGCAGTCCTGACTCCAAGTGGTGCTGGTCAACTCTGGCCTGCCTCCCCCAATCGTTCTAGTAATTTGCACATGCTGTGTATATTTTCCTGTAGATCGTCCAGCGTGACTTTATGAGCCGCTGCAAGACAGAATGTGAAACGGTTTCAAGAGCATGTCATGACACACTAGGCGATGTAGACACCGATGTCGCTGAGTTGCTCTATCAAGGCTCTCTCACACAAGCACAGCTCATCAACAAGGTACAGTGGAACTCGCCTCGTACGTACGCGGATACCACCATAATGCACTTGCTTTGTGCGGACATTGTCCGGGGCATGGGTGTATTGCTCCATATTGAATTGAAGTACGGGCAAGGATGGTTCGATATTATCTTTTAACAAAAGTTCAATTTCCTGTTCTTCATGAGGGTACAGTATTCATGTCTTATCAGAGATCACCGCATCGTGCATTGTCATGCCAGGCCAATAGGAACAAAATGCACACCCTCTGACTTTCATAGCTGTCAAGGCTGCTCCTAAATATCATGGGCGATGTCCACAATTCTTTCTGATCTTGGCTTGGTTCTCTGTACAATTTCTCTTGCTTAGGTGTGTTATGAGATGACGGATGCGTGTAAGAGGAAGCGCTCACTCACCAAACCTCACAAGGAGGAAGCGTTTGCACCCATGCCGGAGAAAGAATACGACATGTTCAAGATGATTGAGGAAACCAAGTAAGTCACTCGCTCGTTTTGGATTCAGTGTTCACATTCATCTTATCTGGGGAAACTCATCTACAGTCCATTCATCGGAAACTGGCCCGCTGGCTTTTGAAAGTCGGATTTGGGCCGAATTGAGGATCAAAAACCCACTTTAAATCTCAAAAATCTGGGTTTTGGATCTGCTTCTCCATACATTTTGCCATGGCATACCTGTCCTAATTTTGTAAAACCTGGCTGAATTTCTATTTCCCTGTTCTTGGACTTTTCTGGCCTCAAATGTGGCAAGGAGTAATTGCACGGGTCACACAATGCAGGATGTACTGTTGTTTTCACGATATCTACAACTATGTGAGAGAGATACCAAAAAGTTAGGGTGCCAGTTTCCAATGAATGGACTGTAGAGAGGAACATAAAGAACATTAATTTAAAGAAAATGCGTAACAACAAAGAATACAATACTACTATCTTACTGTTTGTTTAAGCCAGGTATAACTACACTTACTGGAATCCTATTTATTTTCCGTAGGCTCTGAGTTCCGCTCCTCCCTTCAAATTTAATTCCACCCATCAGAAACTGTGCTCTATTCCAGTTTAGGCACTGGAAAATGGTCGCTACCGGGAAAGAAAAAAAGGGCGCAGGTGTACGAAAATAACCCTCCACCGAAAGTGTGTGCGTCTGCAGTTAGAAAGTGCAGGTGTCACAGTGTATGCGGCTGTGCTTTTGTACCTGCCACTGACACCGGAACGCCCAAGTCCACACGTAGGAATCTTGCACTCCTAGAGTCCATGGTGAGTGCGACTGAAAATGACACCAGTTTTACTTTCCTGGGTTTGCAGTTACGGTGGTGGCCGTGGTGGTCTCAGCTTGTACAGCCGTGAAGACATCGCTGAGTCCTTGGGTGGTGATGATGTCGGACAACAACAGCAGCAGCAGCAGCAGTACACAGATGACCAGTATTCTTCCGACTCAATGGAGGGTGACTATGATCAAGGTTATTATGCACAAGATGAGTATGCGGAGTTACCACCAGATGACTGGGTATCTCGGATTGTATGGAATGTACAGAACACAGCAAGGTGGGTTCAGTCATTTTTCTCCGAGGATGCATACAGCAACGATGAGCTGTGATGGCAGCATGCTCAACCACTGGAGCCTTGAGAATAGCACTTGAATTGTCTTTCTGCTGGTCCAATTTTCTATATCGGCCTATTGTTTTCCACGCCTGCCCATTTTGCTAGGCTGCCTTACTGCTGGATGTTTGTGTTTTGCCCTTGCCCAAAATGCTTTGCTACCTTGCTGCTTTTGCTGTTTCTAAAATTTTAATGCTGGCTGAGTAAAAGTCATGCACTCTGCTCCGTTTGATCCTTGTTGCTGTTCAAACTGAGAACAGAAGGAAGCGTGAACACACACATACACACACACCACCACCACGCACACACACACACACCACCACCACGCACACACACACACACACACACACACACACATTCATGCATGCAGTATTGCCTCGGTCCGGATACTTAAAAATTTTCTTTAAAAAGGGCTGCAGCACATCTGCAGGGCATGTCGAAACGCAAGACGCCAATAGGATGCAAACATTGTAAGGGGATGACAAAACACGAGACACCAATAGGATGATCAATATCATGAACTGCGCCAGCACAGTAGTAAACCTGAAAGCGACACGTCACTGGAGAAATCAAGTGAGAGAAAAAAAAGGTTAAAAAAAATCTATGAACCAAGACACTACAAACACAGCTAAAAGCTGCTGCTGATAATATAAATTCAAGTGAACTTTTTCATGTTCTGCTTGCAATTGAAATGTTGTGAGCGGCTACACAGCTATACAGGTGTTGCGGCTCATGTTCTGGCTCTGCACGTTAAATTTACAGGAATGGCATGCTTCTTGGTAATTGCGAATATCAACGGTGGTGCTATTCCCACAGCCATCAGTGGCAGCAGATCACTTCTCTCATAGAACATAACTAGTGAGCCAACTCCGAATGTGCTGGCGAGAACCAGAAGGGTTGACGTGGCTACGAAGTTTACGTTCAAGAGAAGACTTTCACTGAATGGTCTTTTATACTGCAGACGAACACCCCACAAAAAAGACACATGCCTGAAGCTTACAGCCACATGGATTCTATCATTGGATATGGACACTTAAAATGTTTCCTATGCCACCAAATTGCCAATAACCAAGTACTAGTAGTTAATTTGGTGACAAAATGCCAACTCAGCTGAATTGCTATTGGAATTTCATGCAAAGAGCACACAGATAGAACCCCCTCTTTTCTGTTTAATTTTTTTTAAATAAGCAGACTTGGCCTTTGTTGGGATGTAATGAACGTTACTACATCACGCAAACAAATACCGTAAACCTATTAAGTCCTAGATCACTAACAAATCGTCTCGGTAACCCACGAATTCGGAAATTCGCAACTCGTTATCAAAATGTCTTACAGAATCAAAGTGTTCACACAACAGTGAGGATACACCTTTTTAACTCGGATACTAAGCCAGTAGATATAATTAAATAGAAGAAATCACATGGAAACGAGTTATGAAGCAACTATCCACGTCGGTCGTTGAATGTCTCGGTAGCCTGTCAGTTGTGTGCCCTGTTATCGCACTTTCTGACTGCTGATTGTTGTGTTACAGTTGTGGATAGTTGCTTCATATGTGATTTCTTCTATTTTAATTTCACACCTCTTTCCATGCTGTACTTGGACTTTTAGCCTGTAGTGCGTATGCACTTGCGTACATACATCCAGTGGGTTCCTGGTGCTAGGGTGCCCTCATCCACCAAATGTTACGTTAGATAGGTACATGCTAAACCATGTCAATGCAGCAAATCGCAACGTCACAGGCCAGCAGTTGAAGACAGTGTGAACGGTAAAATGGTAACCAGGTCTATTGTTTCAGCAAATTTCCCATCGAATACTTCTGAAGTACTGTACTTACCAGAGTGAATGCAAAGTAGCTTGCCGATGTTATGAAGACTGCGACAAGGGTAAGATACGGATGTGCGTAGTCTACACACATGAAAGGCAGAGAAACCAAGAAATCACACACAGGCTACAAACTTTAGCAAAACAACTGCCGGACATCAGCCCAAACTCGTATCAGCAGCACGCACAACCAGAAGTGAAATTTCACAACAACACGTGGCTATTAACACATGGCAACAAGGTGGTGATGATGCGGATCACCTCTAAGTCAGTGTTTTGCTTCCAAACTATACAAGCGCCGAGCTTACATATGAGTCCTGCGCATACTGCATGACACAGTGCCCACACCGGCAAGAAGAACATTGTGTCGTACAGACTCTCCAAGTTGCTGGCTTTTTGCACCCTTAGGACAAGAATAGACCTTGTCGGTACGAGAAGAAGCAGGTAGTAACCGCAGAAGACAAAGAATATGGAGTACCTGCAGAAGAAGGGAGAGAATATAACCAGGCAAAGATGGCAATGAACACGGTAGACAATGCATGACTGGGCCAAACAGGTACTTTAGTCAATGCTACCACTACATGTACTGTGGGAGTATTGTGCTACGAATCGAATGCGACACGAAAGTTTGATTCGGCTCGTAATCGTTTCGTTGAAAACAGATTCAGGTTTCGCAAGTCGTCATGCAAATGTGCATGGCAACTACGAATATGGCCGGTAGCTTGGCGTACGGGTGTTTACACGCACACGTGCATGGATCATGGAATCAAGGGAAACATGTGTACCTGGCCAAATAAATGTGTACCTGACGGATTGGGAGCGCGCCACGAATGAAGAGGCTTCCGTTCGTGAAAACGAGCTCTCCGCAAGGACTCTGACGAATCCTCGAACCCAGGTGACGAATCAGCATTCGTTTCGTATCCGTACGAGTGGTGCGAAAGGTCCCTAATGGCTAGCAGGTACAACTTGCAGTAGTTTACTGGAGTGAACTTTATAATTTCTAAGTAGATGCTGTCCTGTGTATGCAATCCCTGTGTACAATCTTGAACTAGTAGATCAAAAGGACTTGTACTTGACACTGCTACATTCTGAGTGGGAACTATCATGGTAAGAGAGAATGTATGTAGAACGAGGGAAAAGCCAATGCAACTGTGGCTTATCTTACAGCGGGTACACGACTTCCGAAGTGCAGTAAATCGTGTTAGTGAAATCCGGTGACGGGTTGTAGAAGATGGGGTACCAGTCCGACACTTGCCGTACGCCGCACGTTTGCAACTTCACATGCCCTGCAAGAGAGGAGAAAAGAGATTCAGAAATTCCGCATCTCCAGATAAACGAATGCAGCAAAGCTCACACTTATTGTTTCGTCCCTTTCACAATGGAATTCATGGCACACACCGAATCCTCTAGTGCAGTCTCCAAATCATGAAATAACATCAACTGCAAATCCCAGCATACACATAGTACATTGTGGAGAAGGTGGAGAAGCAGCACACTTTGGGTGAGCAGATGTACCCTCCATGGCATAGCCATGCACAATACCCAGTGTGCAGTGATGTCTTTAAAATTTAAATCATTGTCATTGATACATGTACTGCCGTGCAGAAAGCGAGTGCAGGTATCCGTGCACACTGCACAATGCAACTCACGACATGATAACGTAACTTGCCTCACCTTGGGGTGCATAGGAGAGGAGGGTCAGAATGGCAGCGACAGACACTTCCAAAAAGTTTGACAAGTGCAACAGCAGCTGACTGTAATGCACAGTATAGACAAACCACAATGCAATACATGTGATGAGGGTCCACGATCGTTCCTCAGTGAAAATAGTACTTTCAAAATACATGTAAAGAATTGTGAAAAAATGTGTGCATGAGTACTGTACACACGTACTAAACACGAATGGCTCAATCAAGAATATTTAAAAATAACTCGAGAGTGTGCAATTCTGCATAAAAATGGAGTCCTGACAACGTTGACTTTTTGGATCAACTTGGCTCTAGTTTTTTTTAAGGATCCATACTACAGTGCTGCCAACCTTCCGTATTTTTCCGTACTTGTACGGAAAATCACTCCTTTGTCCGCAGTACGGAATTTGAGCAAAATTGTACGGAAATTTGAATAGGATCGATCAGCTACAGATATGCATGTACTTGTAGAAGCATGGCAAACGCAAGCTGAGTGATGAATACCCCTGTGCCAAAGCGAGGGCATGCCATGCTTCGACTACAAGTAGCACAAAATATCAGGTCGTCGTACAATCCACGCATGTTTTGTTTTGCACTAGCAAATCCAGCCACCGACAAGCATGTAAGTGTTAACGTGCCAAAAACTGCAATAGAAGCAATGCACACGGCAGTACATTGGTACTGTAGTACAAAAAAAAAACACTGCGAAATACGGAAACTCAGAAGTCGCAGTACGCAAAACAGACCCAGTCGGTTGGCAGCACTGCATACATGTTTGGGTGGTTTTTCCTTCACAGCGTAGCGACACATCCACCGGTAGTGACTGGCCTGGGCCCTCCTGGTACAGATAAAAATCACACCTACGTACGTGCGGCACGAGGGTCCACCCACCACATCCTCCCCACGCTGAGCAGCGTGGATCCAAAAGTTGCTATTTGTCATTAGATTTTGACTTCTGGTGTCAGTGCTTTGATTGATTGATTGATTTTTATTTAAGGATTGTCCAAAGGCCGCAGCTTTCAAGCCCAATGTACATAAGCCACAGAAATGAGTAGAACAGAGTATTCACTATTAGGTCTACTCACCCATCCTCATCATGGTGATGTTGACTGATTCTAGCAAAGTTGAAAGCCAGCACGATGACCACCATGAACAGAAGATACAGCCATTGATAAGCTGTCAGGGGCTCCGTACACTCCTTACAAAGTAAGTGATCCAAGGCCCGGCTTCCGCGTGGACACGACTGCACACAGAACAGAGCGAATCAGTTTACAACTGTAAAGTGTGGGGAGCAGGTGTGATTAGCACTTGCGCTGATCTGACTAAGCCAAGGATAGTCCAAGCCATGCATCGACTACACACACACACACACACACACACACACACACACACACACACACACACACACACAGAAAGCATATTTGCAAAGACCATACTCCGAACTGGACGTATGCTTACCCCACAGTTACTGCTTGTATTATCGGGTAAAGCAGTGCGACCACAGTATCTTCCTGGGCACATGTCCTGGCCCACTGCCGCACATACCATCAAGCACAATATGCCTGTAGCAATGGCACAAACACAAAGTCTATTGCAAAAAAAAGTACAAGTTGACAAGTGCATCTTTCTAAACAACCACAGGGCCAGAGGTACAGTTTGTTTTTTAGAATACAATTAGGCTCCATCTCTTTGGATCATGTTGTCCAAGTTTGGGGGCAATATATTGAAAATGATTTTTGGATATTTTTTCCCAATTTTGCCATACCTCATCCAAGCTCACCATACAAACTAGACTCCCAGACTTTTTTTATCCGTTTAGTTTGTTGAAACTTTATTGTCTTACAAATACATGTAAAAAGACAAGCCTCTGCGTGTTATAGATTATAGCTCAAGAGTATGTAACTGTGCCATGTAACTGTGACGGTCACAACGCTTCCACAATCTTACCCACTATTAAGGCAGGCCGGCTGCACTCCATGGAGCTTCTGCGTGACACTGGCAGCATATTTCATGCACCAATCATCCACACCATATGCAGGAAACGTCTAATACCTTATTTATTGTGATTCGACGTGCAGTATTAAAGCTGTATTTAGCTACCTCATGATCTTCTGGGTAGCTGTACAAAAGCCAAAGGACTTCAGACAAATTCAAAAGGACACTATAGTATAGTATAGGTTTGCGGACCCGGCCAAACAGGTGCTCGGCTGATGTGACTCGGGTAGCCACACTCCAGTGTTTGCCGGCTTCGCTCGGATCAGGACTTCAATCCTGAAGTACTTCTCGACTTTTTATCCAGAATCTTTCGCTCTCTAGACTCTTTCAAATCAAAACTAGTTATTACTTTACACACACTTCTTTCACCCATGTTCACTGAGTTTCAAAACTCATGAAAATTAATTCAAATGATGTCATGCATCATGACCGTCGCGTCATTGATCGAGCTTTTTTTCCAGGGGGAAGTCCCGGAAGTACCGGTTACCCCGTGCATGGCATGCATGCTGCTGGCATGTGCAGCGCGCGCGTGCGTGATGGAGTCCGACTGCACTTGTACCTTAGCCCTGGTCCTCCTAAACTAAAGACAAGTCCTTCCTCCTACATTTCGATTTTGACAGCATGTTTACACAAGGCTTCTACATATTCCTCCTACATTCTACTACAGTCCATTCAGAAAAAAATGAACTTCTAGCTTTTGGCCATAAATGGGTCAAACGTTGAGTTTTTTTAGAATTTCTTTTGGCAATCCCCTATGGAATCCTCTTCCAATTATGTTTCTGAAGTTTTTTTGTCCAAAAAGCAAGCCATAGCAAGAATAGGATTTCGGCCAGGTTTTGCCCCAAAAGCACAGAATTGGGAAAACCATCAAAATCCAGGCCGTTTGACCCCGCCTGGCAACAGTGCATTCTGCGGTTCGAACCCCAGTTCAGGCACCCTTTTTGGACCCTTTTTCAAATTTCAAAGTTCGCAGCACTGCACTGTGTACGATGAAATCGCGAAAAACCGCCAAATACGGGAGCTCGCCAGAGCCAGAGCCCATTTTTTTTATGAATGGACTGTACAATCAACTCAGCGCAGGACAACTACACTACAGTCAGACATTTAGGTTGCGTTTGGTTGGGCATTTTCAGAATGTAAATGACAACCATTCTGGAATGGGAATCGGCAAGAATCACCTGACCAAACTAACGCGCCAGAATCAATTAGGAATCACTAGACATAACAATTCCATGATGTCGTTGTGGAACGGCGGCTGTCTTTTCTTTTACCCGACTCTAGTTTCCTTGAGAGAGTCATGGTACTTCTGAGTGCATGATTTGAGGCACTTGAACCTGTTGCTACATTGTTTGGCTCGTGGCAGCCATTATCATTTTTGATTCCGGAATGAGAATGCTCATTCCAGCATATGAGGTGGAATGATCATTCTCCAAAAAGAATCATTCTCAGCGATTCCCATTCTGGAATCATGTGGAATGTGACCAACCTAACGCACTTTTTTGACCAACCAAACGGGCGAGAATGATTCCGAGTGATTCCAAGTGATTCCCATTTGGGAATGTGACCAACCAAACGTAACCTTAATTGGGCGAAACGACTCTCGAAGTAAGTGGTAACACGTCGTTAGTTCGTTTCACTTTTTCCTGATTTGAAGATGGCCGGGCCTGGCCCGAAAATTTGCGTAGAACAACGTTGTTGTTTTGTACTTCAAGTACAGTGCTGGCAACTGAAATCCGACCCCCTGAGCGGTGCGCTCACATCGCAAAGACCCAACACGGGATGGTAAAACTACAAACAGAGACCGCTAGAATGTGAACCCACCGCGCAGGGGGTCGGATTTCAGTTGCCAGCACTGTAGTTATGTACACTACCTCACTATCCTCCTTCGGCCTCCATAACCACAGAGAAGTCCAATGATTATGTCATCATGGCATCATCATTGTCAAACCAGCCTTGTACGTGTATTGGCGTGGGTGCATACATGGGTCAGTACCTGCTTGGCGCCACCTAAAAATATGCATTGTTCTCGACTCTGTGCCTATTATTATTCTGCAGAGATAAAGCTATAAAAGTCCTTCATTCAACTAAGTAATTAGTTAGTTACAGTACTGTCAAGGACCGGGTACTACAATACTGTACAGTACTGAATCTACAACCAGGGCCAGGGCCCGGGGAGGTGTCCACAGCCACCAACGACATAGTCGACTAGTCATTGACTGTCGACATGTCCCGGACTGAAGTGATCATGGTGATGATCAAGCATGTAACCAGTGCCAGTGCCGCCGTGGTGCCAAGAAAGTCGAGGCACTGAATTGAACACTGAAGTGCACTGACTGTCTGGCTGCAGCGGGCTGCATCCAGCTGAATGGCATTTCATGCCACTGCTTTTATTTCCGTTCATTCACGATTCTATCGCTGCAACCACTGACCGAGCCCGGTCGTGCAAAAAATGTGTGTGGCCACAGGCGCTAGCACTGCACAGTTAGTGGCGCTAGTGCTATCACAATGTGCGAGGTGGGCCGTGCATGCCATTGACCCATTGACTTTGTACCATTGTCCTTGGGCTAGTTTGTCACGATAGCCGTGTCAGGCTGTCGTGTGTCAGCGCCGAGAAAACAGGTCTCAGGAGGCTTATTTGCTTGCCGTATAAAAGCTCCGAGAAAACAGGACAACACGATAGAGGATTTATATAGCGAGCAAGAAAAGAAGAAGAACTTTGAACGGAGAGAGATTTGGCGTTGTTAGAAATATGGCGGCTACCCGGTGTAAGCTCCGTCAGATGTGGATTATCGCAACTGTCGTCTTGTTCCACCTGTACGTAGCAGGTAAGTACAGTACAGATGAATTCAGTTGAGTCCCCACGCAGTCCAGCAGCAGTAAACATACGGATCGCTGTTCAAGCTCCAGACCCGGTAACGGGTTTGGTTGCATGCTTGGCTTCTTTCCGTGGTCACAGTAGAGTTTGGGGCGCCTGTCCGGAGAAGCCGGATTGACTTCTGTGCATCACGGTGCTGTAATGGGCATGCAGTCTTGTTTCTGAGTAGAGTCACCGTCGGGAGTCTATCACACTGCGAATTATTTTGTCCAGTACTGTAAGAGTGGGCCCGCGGAGATGACACAGTGTCACTGTGTGAGGTGTTCATGATAACGGGGTTGAACTATTCACTTGAGTTGATCTTTGTAATGTGCTGTGGATCCACTCTTTTCCTGACGGGTGGACTCAGTGTACAATTCACCACTTTGCGCACACACTGGCTGACATGTGCTTTGATATCCTGGAATGAAGATCTCTACGGAAACCAGCCCTACAGACTCAGTAGTCCTCCACACCCGGTTGGCCCTTGTGAGCGATGTTCTATCTTACCATGATTTACACTCTACTACATGTACAGTTCACTGTTGGTCAAGAACAAGTAGCAGTACATGTATGCTGTACTAGTAACTCCCAAACATTCACGGTTCACAATAAAAAGTCATGACTTATAATTGTGCGATGGTCACAAATCACTTACATTTAATATACACGTAAACGTGCGCATAGCCTTTAAAAATGGGCGCCCATACAAGTTTGACCGGGTTTGTCTAGCCCAGTAAAAAATTATTGCCTTGCAGATATTTCTGAGCTGAACAGTCTGTTTGCTGTCATTGCCAACTACAGCTGCTCAAGACATCACAGTCACAGTCTCACCAGAACGGCGCGTGGTGGCAGCCGGCCGGAGTGTGGGATTTGAATGTGGATATGTATTGCCACCAGGGCATAGATTTACCAGCGTGATCTGGCAAAACTCCAAGACCGGCACCACACTGCCGGCTAACCGACACCAGACTACCCGGGACGGCATTCTCGTCATTGATCGTGTGACAGAGTCGGACAGCGGCATCTACACGTGTGCCGTGCAGTCCTACGCAGAGCATACCCAGCAGACACACCGAAGCTGGGGACATGCTGCTCTCTCTGTTGTGGCCCGTGGCAGCCAAGGCCAAGGTAACCACCCGCTTCAGTAGAATTTTACGTCATTGGTGCATTGAATGTATATCATTGGAGTGTTGAATGTATATCATTGGTGTGTTGAATGTATATCATTGGTGTGTTGAATGTGCTGCACTGCTCTGGCTTTACTAAGTTTTTTGAAACCACATCACACACATGAAACTATCACTGTCTACAATAACCAGGTCATGGCTACGTCGTATGCAACATACTTGCCTTTTGAGGCTCTCTTGTCCCGTCACCTGTGCCTGTGGGTTTCAACATGATTATTGTATGTATGAACATGTGCACAGTCATGTACATACAGCATAGGGTCAGGAGTTCACAGCCTTTTTCCGGATGTTTGTTTGCATTGTGTGTGTGTGTGTGTGTGTGTGTGTGTGTGTGTGTGTGTGTGACACAGTGAGGCCGACGGTGCATGTTCTACCGGGAGGGGACTACGGTGGACTGGTTCGCTTGAGGCCAGGCCAGAGCGTGGAGCTCACGGGACTTGCTACTGGCCACCCGCAGCCATTTATCACCTGGAAGAGAGCCTCGGGGAAGGCGTTGCCACGCAATCGTCACCGCATTGCGAATGGCAAGCTGGAAATTACCAATGTTGTGATCCCGGATGATATTGATGAGTATGTCTGCACAGCAACTAATCCACTCAGCTCATCACAGGAGAGCCGTTTCTGTAAGTAGTAGTAGTGTAGATTGATTTTACTCTGCACATGTACGTTCATGCATTGCAGCTGAATTTCAGACTAGCATACTATGGTTCTAACGGTATGTATCAATAAAGGCAGCTACATGCGGTATGAACAACACCCACTGCATGTGTCTCAAATACTAGTAATCACTCAAATTGTTGCTTTGTTGTTCTCCTTCGCAACTTCCTTGTCTTCTCTCATTCTTTCTCCGTCTTGCTTGCTCTCTTATGCTGACGCAGTGGTTGGTGGTTGGTCAAGCTGGGGCCAATGGGGCATGTGCTCAACGTCATGCGGTGCTGGACAGCAACGCCGTCGGCGAACGTGTATCGTTCCACCGACACTACACCGCATGCTCAAACGGCTGGCCTGCAGAGGCTCAGACAATGAACCACGCACCTGTAATGCTGGAGCATGTTTTGGTAAGTGTTGATGCTTGATGCTGTGAGAATACAAATACTAGTCAATACTAAGTTATGCTACCTGTTACATGCAGGTCCTGCTCGAACAGCTAAGGCATGCCGCGTTTTAAAACCAAAACACTCTCGTTGTGGATAATAGACAGTATAGTCGTAATACCAGATCCATCGCCTTGTATCAAGTCACCCTAGTGGCCTGAGTACATCGTACACTACAGAATACTAGTAGCTTAGATGCATGCACTCTATGCACTTCATGTCTGCTGGTCTAGAATCCATTGTGCACACTATACTCCTGACTGGGTATGAATCAGTACTGTGTTGAATGTGCCTTGGGTGACCCAGATTTTGGTTGGGGAGGGGGGGGGGGGGGGGGGGCGTATACAGCATTATACAGCATTGCACGTTATAGATACACTGCAAAAAATGCAGTAGCTAGTCAAGCCTGCCATTGTATGGTGTGTGCTGGTTGTTGGTGTATGTCACCACAGTTCCAACACGTCCGCCACCACCTCCAACAACTACTCCATACCGTCCACCCACTAGAGCTCCAGCTCCTGTTCGAACCCGCCCGCCCGTTACCACTAGACCTCCTGTGCGTGCAACACCGCCGCCACCTCGCGAGGTGGTTACCCAGCCACTTCGTGTGCAAACCACGCCTCGTGCTGCCCCACTGGCTGTTACACGTGCTCCGTCACCTCCGATGGCTCCCGGATCCGGTCTTAAACCTGTGGGCTGCTTCCGTGATCATGTTGGTCGCCGTGTGCTGCGATTTCACTACCGAAACTACTGGAGGTTTGTGCGGAGGATGGTACCAACACTCTGTGTCAGCCACTGCCAACGATACGGTCATCGCTACGCTGGAGTCGAGAACTTTGCAGAGTGCTTCTGCGGTAGCATGGATGTACGGTCAGCTGTGCGGTCCGACCAGTGCACTAATCCCTGCGGTGGCAATCCCGGTCTAGCCTGTGGTGGACGCAATGCATTGTCAGTCTATGAAGTGCCGCTGGCTCGAGCAAAAGGTAAGAAGATGTACTCACTAGTTCGTGGACTACTCTAGAAAACGAATAGCGTCATTGGTGACAATGGTCACTGCGCCATGCCAAACGATAACGATAAGCAGTAACATGCGCTGCTAGTGTGTGTTGTTGCCAGAGTGGCATGGTTCATGCAGTTAGATCAAGCTACTGCTGCTGTGCTGCTGCTGCTGTGTGCTGCTGTGGTATTCCAGTGTGCTGCTGTGTGCCGATATGCCAGTGTGTTGCTGGATGAAGGACTGGCACTGGTGTGTCACACAGTACCTGTATCATTGCAGCTAGCATTTATTGCATGAGCTGCACCGCTTGTCTTGTAGGTCTAGGTACATGTTGCTTTGTACCTTGGTTGCCTCATGCCGTGGCATTTTCCACACATTTGAGCTATTGAGCAGGTTTGAACCCAGAACTTGCATTCAAGCAGTTTTACAGTATCACCTGTTAAGTGGACGCCTGAACGCCTGAATGCCTGAATGCGTAAAAATACAAAGTCACGTGCAACAATAATAGTAATTCACAACATATTCCAATGTGGTCTTCGAAATACATAATAATAATAATATTCGCGGGATCCGCGTTAGCATCACTTGAATGTTCAGAAACACACAAGCTATAGCCTTCGCTTCCGCAGGCCACCACTATGCCTCCACTTTAAATCTCATTGACAGGTGGGGTAGCTCAGAAAGTGTTATCTCTAATCTGAACTTTTTTCTTTGTTTCTTGTGACGGCGGCAGCGTGTGAAACATCAAAGTGGGACAGATGGACACAATTAATTGAGTCATGTGGCTGGGCTGTGCAGAGGCGTGATCGCTACCTGCGTAACCCACGCCTGCAATGCCCCAGGGTGCCCAACCTGCGACAGGAACGTCTGATCAAGATCAAGCCGTGCCCGCCCGACTTCTCGCTGACGCCATCGACGTGTCGGCGTGTGCCAGTGACGAAGAGAATCTCGTATAATCTGAGCTCCACCATCCATTGTCTTAGCGACACACCGATCACACTCTACTACTGCAAGGGACCACCGACTTGTTCTCGCTGCACCTACTCCAAAACGACCAGCCGGAATGTCAAGTTCACATGCGGTCCAGCACGTAGCAAGGTTACCATACGCGTGGCTGAAATTCTCGCCTGCCGCTGTCGCTGATGACATGCCTTTCCATCTTATCACACAGTAACATTCTTCAAAACTTTTCATTCGCTCAAACTAATCAATGCATAATTTGAAAGTTTTGCAAATTTCCATTAAATGCTTGCTTGTAGCACGAGCTAAAATTTCGCATGCATAAGCACTTTCTGAAATCTTTCCAAATTTGAACATGTCTTTCCTAAACTTAAATATTGATGAACAATTCTGACAGACAGGGAGGGAGCTGTGCTCTGTGTATCAGGAGGGTATTAGTAATGGCTTCCAGCAATGATGTCAGAATGTTGCCACTCAGTACCCAACTATCAGTAAGTTATCAAAATCATACGCATTACTGTATGTAGTGCATGTGTTACAACTCAACTTGGTCTTTAGAGCATAGGCAACTGTCACCTGTAATCAGTTGACAGTGTGTCATGATGTGCTTGGGTAGCAGGATCATATTACATGTATTCGAAATCTAAATTCTCTGAACATAAGGGTCAACATTTAGAAATTTTGCATTCCACCTTTGAATGGGCAATTGATGCGCAAGAGACATGGTGCAGCTCTAATTTTGGTAACTCTATTCCGCCATGTTCATCATCACTGTCGCCAAAGCACTGGTTCTGCGAGTTGCAGAGACGTTTCAGAGTAGGCGTCAAGCATGCCAAGAACTATCACCCTATCCTTCCCAACCTCCGGTTAGCTTGAGGAAGCTCTCGGCATTGACAGCCTCGTGCACATCCTTTCTCATGCTCATGAAGATATAGCCGCCAATGAACTCGTGGAGAATCTTCAAATGAGAACTGCTGCAGGTGAAGGAGAAGGTGCCGTCTTCATGGTCGACTCTCATTTCCTTGATTTCCCAGTTGATATCCCATGTTCTCATTGTTGAGTAGCGCCATGTCTGCAGGTGAGCATGTGTCTGCGGATCAAGTCGCACCAAGCGGTTGTACGCAACACCCAGCAGTTCCTGCATGGAATGTACACAACAGAACAGAATTGGTCAATTCAGTTTGCTGGAAAGCCAGAGCCCAGAGGCACCGTCTCCACTCACTTTTAGCCAGCACTCTTCTGTCAGCCACGCTGATTTTTATTTTATTTCAGGACATTAGTAAACCTTGTATCAGTCTACATCTAGTATTGGCGTTTTGGCTACTGTCATGTTTTGGCTCAATCACATTCAATATCTGACTGGGATTTCTAGTAGTGATCACATTCAGCAGTCAGCAATGATCCTACCACCTCTCCAAGCCAGCTGATGTGCAAAGGTCTTACTTGAGAAACCCAGAAAACAACTCCTGCATATACAGCATGGCAAGAATGGCCTTCCAAAATTCAGTGCAATATACCAGTAGGTAAGAGCAAGAAATCGAATAATAATTGAACAGTGTGCGTAGTAGAAAATTTGTTCGAAAATACCTCAGACAACACCTGTACCGCTTCTGTAATGAAACCAATGGCGACGTAAATACAAACAGCAAGCCAACTTACATCTTTTGCTTTGTAGGTGGAGAATTTGATGATGAAGTAGGACAGGCCAAAGTCCTGCAGGCCCTCCCATGCGCGGATGTACGCCAGCTTGGACTCCAAGACGGAGCGGCGTTCCAGAGAACCATGGAAGCCAAGCACCTGTGCAGCAATCTGTCCGGCCAAATACACAGACACCATGACTGTAATAAGCTACTGTGTACGTATGAACAGTCACGTAATACAACAAACCATTGCTAAGCCCTGTTCCAGTACCAAGTCAACAGCAGTCTGCTCCTCTGATGTGGCGTTTTAGTGAGCATTTCGGAAGTTTCAAGCATACAGCAGTTGTGAAAAGACCTCGTTGTGCTCAGTACTAAATGTGCACAATCCAACACTGTGTGCCTGCATAGGCTTGGACAATCCTCAACAATGGGAACTGCATTTTACAGCAGTCAAAGTTCTCTACTTTACCATCATCCTGTTCCGGACTCACCTTGTTTATCGCCTTCTTCTTGAGGATGCGGTTCGGCACGAAGTGACCAACTAAAGAGCCATTCTGTACAAAACAATACGAGCACACGCACACCCGGGGTACCCAGCATAATGATGGTTCGTAGGAGAACCCTTTTAAAACTGCTTTCCGGTGTCCAGACAGGTTTAAGGCGATGTACGCCACGTCATGGAAAACTGCACATAAGTTGATGCAACTTTGTAATCCAAATATATTTGCATACATCGTTCAAAATACTTTTGATGGTGGAAGCAGTGGGTGCACTAACCTCTTTATGGCTTTTTCCAGTTCTCTGTATGTCCAAGAACATCTCGCAGGCTTTCACTTCCTCTCTATGCCCCGTGCTGCCTGCCGACTTGCCTCGAGATGCCATACGGAAAGCAGCCAGCCACGTACAGAACTCATCGGTCTGGTTCACAGCCCAACACCACATTCACACACACACACACACACACACACACACGCACACACACACACACACACACACACACACACACACACGCACAGAAGTTACATGCATGCTACCCGGCATTTTATGACCATGATTAGCTGAGCAGCAGTGAAATACACTTGTAGACAAGCCTCAATTTGTTGTTGTTGTTGCTGTTGTTGTTGTTGTTGTTGTTGTTGTTGTTGTTGTTGTTGTTGTTGTGGTGGTGGTGTGTGTGTATGGTTGAATACGAAGTATGTGTCCTAGAATTACGACCTTGGCTCTGTTCTCTCTACATGTACTTCAACAAAACAGAGCATGCCCGTCTTCTTCGATGGCTCCTGACAGTTTACCGTAGTAATGTACCCCCCCCCCCCCTCGATGAAATGCGTTTTAATACTTGCTACTAAGATGCAACACTCTTCCAGTGATTTACCGTTTCAAAAGTGATTTTGACATCCATTTCATCATCACCATCAGACAAGGATACCCTCAGCTGGTATTTGTCCTTGTCAACTTCCACATCTGGCTGCAGATCAGCGCCTGTAATCAATCACAGAAAGCAATGACAAGTTTAATGTACCACTAGGTGAAACCTAAAATGCAAGTCTGGTGTGAACAAAATGTGTTTACGGTTTGCGTCAGCGTGATTCAGACCGACTTTTCCACATCCCTTTGAACGTCATCACCCTCAAGAATCGAGGCGAACATGCAGCCCCTAAAGCGATCGGAGGTGAGTTGATCTGACCCACCACAAAAGGGGCCAAAGATGGTCAATCCCGTTTGCTGCATCTGCGGTAAAACCCCATCTGGTCTAGTACTGAAGTACAAGTATTCTTTACTATCAGCAATTCACCCACACTGTACCTCGAACATTGAAGCGATTCATTGGAGTGACTTCACCTTTCTTGTACTGTACAAGGGAACAATCTGCAAGAGAAACGACATACAGTCACATCCATTGAGGAACAACACCAAGGGATAGCTGGAATTTGTTGCATCAATGAGAACAATTAGCACAATGCCTGGGAAAAGAAACCAAGAATGATTAACTGAATATACAGCAGATGTTACCAGCATTTTGGAGAAGTAGTGCCGGCTTCCACACCCTACAAGCACGATCTCGGATTGAATGTTAGTTAGTAGCACTGATCAAAGCAGGTGTGTGTACTGGATGTGGTGCTGTTACGGAAAGCCGATATCATGTAATTAGGCAAATTTGCCTGTTTGTTCTTCGACTCTAAATATTTAAATATTTAAAAAATAAAACAATGCAATGAATATAACTAAATGCGCACTCATATCACAACCATGGGGACGAATAATGTATTCCAGAACGTTTTCTTGTCACAATTATCAATGGAATTCGTGACTAAAGAGAATGATGAAACTACAATAGGATTTATACACTTGGAGTGAAACAGCGAGGATACAAGCATAGTAAGAAAAAATAAAACACTTGCCACTTTACCTTGGAACAAGAAACGGTAAGTTTTGGCTGACTTGAGCGTCAACTTGCCAACCCTGTGAAATAAGCAGCACAGTGACAAGATCAAAACGATGCTACCGTAAAAGCCCCTGTATACGCCCACTCGAAATTACGCCCACCCTCCGTGTACACGCCCAGTCAGGGGAAGTCAACACTTTTGTTTCAAAATAGCGCCCATGCCCATGTATACGCCCAGGTATGCCGGAAACACCAGTACATGTACAGGTACTGATACCCAATACTTACTCCTATCCCAATTCCAAGTATACGCCCGGTTCCAAAATAACGCCCGTGCCCTTGTATACGCCCAGGAAATCGAGGCTGCTATTCTATACGCCCGGGGCCTCTACACGGGCTTTTACGGTATCTTACTTGGTGGCTACAGGTTGGGCTGGAGGACTAAGTCAACTGCTCACGGTGTAGTACAGTATAGTACATTACCACATCACACCACATCATACCACATCATACCGCCACACCACAACATCCAAAACAGTCAATGCAATTACTGCAATGCATCAACATACTTCTGAAACTTTAGGTCTCCCTCGATTTTCTGTGTTGGCTCAGCTGCGGCCTGTAGAGAGAAAAGTAGACCAGAAAGTCAGGCTCACTGGATGACGGGTAAATGTGTCGAGAAGTTTTGCCTCCAACACCTAACATTTTCTGCATCCATGTACTACCACAAGAGGAGATTTGGCAGATGGTGTCTACAACCACAACAATATCCGCCACAGATGAAAGATATTTTGTTTTCGGAGCATGTACAATAAGATGGGACAGATCGAGAGGAAAGCTGAGAGAGGAACATAACATAACTCAACATGGCTGCCAATATGAAATACTACACTGGGAAATGCAACAGCAACAGTTTTGCACTGCACAACACAACTGTACTTACTGCAGCACTTTGAGGTTGAGTACCAAGCGAGAACTGCAGGTTTGTCAGAGCCTGATCAAGGTCGGAATCCTCTGAAGGTGGTTCATCCACTTCACGAGGCATAGCTGCTGCTAGTTGGACTTGGAACTGCATAAAATAAAGAGAAAACCAAATGAGGAATTTTTGAAGGGTTTGACTATGGGTCAAAGTACAAAGTTCAAAGTTCACACGACCGTTTTAGTAAAGATTTCATAAGATTAGAGGAGGGGGGTCTTTATATGTGAATGGATGAGTTCTGGGCTCAGAGACATGTTAATTGTATGGGTTATAAAGCCACACGAAGATACAAAACGTCTTTAAACACAACATCAATGTCCCAAAAGAAAGTTCCATCCATATACACATGGGGAGTTCTACTTGAAGTACATGCTGATACCCTTTCATCTGTGACCTTTTGCAAGTTTTGGACACTACCGCAGCTAGAATTGCCATCACGCACAAACACGTACATAATTATGCATGTATCACTCACCTGGAGTGCAGCGAATGTATACGTTTCCTCCTCAGTGCAATCAACATCCTCTGTCAGGATTGACCAGCGAGCCTGTTCATACAGCTGACTAATGCGTACAGCGTCAACCTAGGCGAACACACAGGCACACAAAGAAAATGTATCTTTCATGCGGAAACAAATGCAACTCTTATAGGCTATTCATACTACGTTACAATAAGCGTCACGTTTTGGAATACGACGTACTGGCAGACGTCGTTTTCATGCAGCTGCATTCACACAGGCATGTACACGCTGCTCGTACAGCTGTGTGTACAGCTTCTTTTGGACACAAACTTCTGGGAACGACAGAACTAAACTCGGTACAGGGGTCTGGATACGTCGTCTACGTTTTTGTATCAGAGGTACGGTTTTCCCGCTACGTTCCATATTGTCATGGCTATCCGGACAAAAACGTCACGCACGCCGCGTTTTGGGCGTAGTGTGAATGGCCCATTAGACAGGAAAGCAAAGTTCCCCCGCGGTGCTGTGAAGTATTTGCTGATCGTAGACTTGAGCTGAACTTGTTTCGACCATTGCGCGACCATCGCACAAAACAATTCCAGATGCGAAACGAAGCATGGCTGACCTCGTTCACCACACCAACAGTACGATTCCTATTGGCAGTAGATACTGGTATCAATTCCTCCACAAGGCTGACTGGGTTGTGGAAATCTCATCAATGAATGTTGCTGCTGTATGTGTAGTGTTTGCTATTCTAAAAGTGTGGGATTGTCTAGTAGATCCACAATGTCTGGCCTCTTTTCTACAGTACACAGATACTTTGAATGCGGAGTATACAGTACCACAATTGTTACGACGTGTGTAAGCAACTGGCATGGTACTTTGATGACTACTCACTAGAGGGTCCAAGTCAAGGAAAGAGAAGTACTTGAAACGCAGCTGGATAAAGTCATTCTCTTGAACACCCTGTAGGAAAATGCACACACACACGCACATACATACACACACATACACACACACGCACGCACGCACACGCACGCACGCACACGCACGCACGCACACGCACGCACGCACACACACGCACATGCACATGTCTGCGTCATTGCGATGTGTGTCTTCAGTCCATATTCTGATACAAATGCGTCTTTTGTGTATCGTTGCACCACCAACGGCTTATATGTTATATCCAACCTGACCAACATTACCTCATTAGACTACACTGTGCGCATGTAGGACACGCTAATCGAATCACAGGCACAACCTCCAACCCAGTACTGGTCACAGGAATGTATTGAAAGAATGATTGTATTGAAAGGTCGAATATGTATTTGATCATACCAGTACACACAAACCTACCTGGCTAAATAGAGGTCTGGAGGAGTCAAACCACCTGAAAAACAAAGAAGAAGAAATCAACCACATCAGAAACGAAGAGAGGGCATTTTCATGACCTTGTAATAGATGTATTTGCACTAAGACAGTACAATACTCACTATTAGTATTTCCCGCTCCTTCAACAATCATAGTCATGCTTACACCTATGGCACATCTGTGTATGCCAATATAAATATCCGCGAGTCTTCGGGATGATGCTTGTACTCCATGGCCATATGGTATAACGAATGCAGGGTTTCTCAGAACAATGTGGAGAACATAGCAAAGTGCATCACATAACTAATGAAACTGCTTTACTTGGCAAGATGCATGATGTATAATTCCCCGCTACACTTACAGTCCATGCAGATACGCCTTGTCCATGGAACTCGGTGACCACCTATCCAGCAGAATACCATCTGGCACATCATCGCTTCGCACAACATCACCAATATTCTGGCCTCCGACCACGTAGGTACCCTCGTCCGTGATCCTGCTCACTGTATGCTCCGGTGTGTGTCGATCACGCACCATGAGCGGATCAAGCAAGGCATTGATGTGCACGTTCTTGCGAGAGCCAAAGTAGTTGAGTGCCTGGTTGTCTTCGACTGGACGGTTGTTGCAGCGCATGAACGACAGCTCCTCAAAGCGGCGAATGCCGACCGTTTTGCATACCTGCAACACGCACACGCGCACACACACACACAAGAGCAGAGCACAAGAGCAGGATAAACAAGAAAATACAAACAACAGACAAAGGCATGTCACCAATAGACCTCATGGCAAAGGGGAAATACCCACCCCAATCAAGGCCCTTAGTTAGGGTAACACAGGAGTATGATGTGATGTGTGCTATTCTGCTCATCTCGATGCGGAGAATGAGGAACTGGAGGGAAGTGGAGGACACGGAGGGGGACGAAGAAGAGGAGGAGGAGGCCTACAGATAAACCGTTCGCACATTGAGCATCTCTCTGTTGTGCGCTACATTTCTCACTCATGTACACAGATTGGCATCACACTTCCATGATAAGCAAGGTGTGACACTGATAACGCATCCAAGCAAACAAAACATGCAGTAACTGGATGTTTCACATAAACATACCTGCTCAACAGCATGAAAACATCTCACAACCATATTGACTGGCATCTTGACGACAGTACGATCAGGCAATTGCACCTGCAGTACTTGATTGATCCTGAGGAAGTGTAGCTTACTGTCTGACTGCACACCCTCAGAGCTGAGGGCCAGTCGCGGACGATTTAGCCATATGTTTCGTTCCGGCCACCACAGTGCAAAGTCGGACCAGTCCTGGGGTCCTGCGGCGGCCATGGTACACATATACGTCACAAGGACAAAACACAAATGCCTTCAAGCAATATTCTCTGTTGTGCATCACCATTCTCTGCACGCTCATGGCTATCCCCAGTCTTCATTCTTATGCTGGTGTCACACTCACAGTATGACACAGTCGTTTGAAAAAGTTATACTGCTTCCTCTTATGCCATCTGCTAGCCTGTTTAGGGTCCATTCCGTAGTACCAATGATACGTGATATGTCATTTACTGTAGCCTTGAAATTGAAAGTTTTGTTTGCCAAATCTCATGATCTAAGCCTCGTGATACACCAGCCGCAAGCTCGGCATACACAGCACGTGCCATTATGTAACAAACTAGCTATGCATATTGAATGATGGCTACCCACGGGTGCTGAACAGTGACTGCCACTGCAGAGTACTATTGCGTACATAATCGTGCTGCCACTGCTGTATCTGAACCTGATTCCTTACTTCATTGACCAGTCTAGTCTTGTACAATGTCATGTACTTGGGTATGTGTACAATAGGAGAACTATTCTATATTTAGCATCATGGTGCCCGTGTACAGCTCAGTAGTTGTGCTTGCATAGTTAGTCTACTGGAGTGTTGTACTGATAAAATACACACTCCCCAGTGTCAAAGGTATCTGGGAAGGGCAGTGAGTTTGTTTTTTTATAGGCTGAGCCATGCCATTCACCAGCATGCTGCCTGGGCAGAGCCTACACTACAGTACAGGTCAAGTTACAAGTGACTTGTATTGAGACGCTCGTGCCAAAGTGTGTAAGTCATAGTCAAGCAGCAGACAGTTTACAAGATACGACAATAGTCATTGACAATATCTAAGTAATTAGTTAATATTTTACTCACCTAGAGCAGATGCAACCTTGACCACCACCTCCCCAATGCTCATGCCGGAGGTCACCAGAAAGGTCTTGGTCGCTCCAATCTGCGGCGTGAACACGCTCAACTCCCATTCTCGATTAGATTTCGGAGGCATCTTCCCGGCAGCACAAACCACAGTGAACGCCAATCTTCTGAATTATCTCTTCCAATAATTTGCTTCTTGCGTCCCGGACTCAAGAACAAAATTAATATCTTCTGTGCAACGGACCAAATAACTCCGGTTTGATGATGATATAGCCCGAGGCTTTCCGCAGAAATAGGTCTCCGTTACTCACAGCCACTGGTGATTGTGACGGCTTCGTCCTAAACTGCTGGACAGCGACTAGTAAAATTTTGGTCAGTTTCGTCGGATACAGCTGGACTTCGCACTTGTGCTGAGCCTCAATGCTGTCCTTCAGCGGCAGACCTGGCACTAGCGCTGGAGTGGAGGCTCTGATGCTGGTAGTCCGTGGCGTGATGCTTCCCTCGCGGCTAGGCTGCACACTGGATCGGCAGTAGCAGCAGTTGTAGTGGGCTGATTTCCTTCACACGAGCTGGAGACAGGCGATGCAGTGCAGCGAGGCGAGCCCCAGCCCTGGCAGGACAGCTGGAAACAGCTTCCGAAAATCTAAACGGACTGAGCTAGCTCAACACAGACGTTTCTGCTAGGAGAGTCTACGTAGTGTCGTTCCAGTTTGTCACGGTGCTACACGAAGAGGCAGCCATGCAAGACCAAAACTCACTGCTTTACAGCTCCATACACGGGAAAGAAGTTTTCAAAAATGGGCAAACTGTAGGGTACGTAGCTTACATAATCTACAATTATTTTGTAGGTAGGTCGCGATCGAATGTACTGTATGTAGCGTGGTGCATTATCGAGTTCTGCGCGAGCATTCTTGTCAATCTTGATCTCTCCGCGCCGCGTAGATCTGCCTCGATCGACGCGGGATCGATCAAGCGGGGTCCCACCGTCCGTCCCAGCGCTGGCCAGCGGCCACAGTCCCAGTCCCAGACCACTCACTGACTCAGTTCAGGACAAGAATCAGCTGTCATCTGGTCATATCAGTACAAGGGAAGCCTCAGTTCAGTAGGCCGGCCCTGGCCTTCGGCCCGGACGGCCTTCAGACGTTCAGTTTGGCTTTTCCGAATCTTCGGTCGAGGAAATTCGAAAGCTCAGCCCCGGCGCTCTGCACTGATCTGGGCTACAGGTGCATTGCGACTACCTCCTTATTCTTTCTATCGCTCGTGTGGCAGTTCGCTGGTCCGTATCCACCGTTCCATCGCAGCCGAAGTCGCAGACACATATGTACATTGCATTGGCGCCGTTAGTCCTACTAATAACTATGTACTGCGCTGGCCTTGAAGTCAGGAATGTGGTGCAGGTGGCCTGTCTCTACCCAATCACACTCAACGATCCAGACATACCAGCACAGACTCAGTAATGTCACATAATTGTCAGAGTGATGTCAGTCACTGTTTGGAGTGTTGTGTATTCAGTCACTATTCACAAACACACACACACACTAGATCCTGTGGATAATCTGGGAAGAGTCGCCAATCATCATAAACCTCTACGAAATACAATAATGCACAGGCAGACTCAGTGACACTGTCAGACAGTGGGTAGTGAGTTGGACTGGTACTGCTACTCTATCTTGGAAGTACTAGTATAGTACTGTATGGTGTAAATTGCTGTTGGATCGACAGACGAGGACAGTCAGGCTGAGACAGAGACTGAGTCAGTAGATCTGGAGGTCACAAAGCCTGACAGCTAGCCCACGTGGATCCGATGCCCCCGCCTAGAACCGCCCATCACTTGTACACACAACGGACGGCTCTGAATATTCGGGACAGTCACTGGCAAAGGGAGGCAGATGTTGCTTTCACTGAATTCCCACACGCACTGAACAGGTGACAGAATAATTGGCCTGCTAAATTCGATCTCATGAGTGAAATAAGAAAGTTCAAAATTAATAGCGCTTCCGCGGATTGCTACATGTACATGGCCCGAGCACCACAACTCTGTGAACTGGAACGGGTCACTACTGACAGTAGTACTGTAGTACTGTCTTGTCTTTATTCGTGAGGTCCTTATTACTATTAGGTTGTATTTTGCTTGTACCCTACCGCTACATGACAGCCTGTACTGTTTGGTACTTTGTAGAACATTTTTTATCTACAAAGTGCAAGACATGTACAATTAAATGTACATACATGATTGTGTAGATAAAAGTTTTACCATACACTACATGACGATAGTCATGTACTGTCTGCACGCCGACCAACGGATGTAATGAGGTGTGCAGCATTCAGAATCATGTCCGAAATGACCTGCATGGATGACTATCAATGCTAGTGAGTCAATGCAGGTATCGCTAGCAGCAGTAACACTTACAGCCAACGTTATTACATATACAGTACAAGCAAAAGCCCAGTCTAGTTTTGATACAAGTTATTACAACTACATGACGTATACTAAATAAATTATTTCCAAGTTCGTGATTGATGACAGTGCGAAGCCACCTGCGCCTGATATACTCACTCAAAGATAAATCCTCATGTAATATGTGCTCCTGTTTTGTCGGACTTGGACATCCGGAAGTGCCAAGAAGCCCAACCCCTACCCACGTACTTAGCACCGCGTCTAACATACCGCCAAACACGTAGACGTTGTACGCCCTATCTCAGCTCAGCTCCTCAGCCATCCTTGCCTTGGCAGGTGTCGGCAGTACAATCGGGAAAGGCGACTTTCGCCAACACCGCGTAGAAGTCGACAAGCGCACCGCGTAGAATTCGACAAGCGACATGTACAGACATGTACATTATGCAGTAGATGATGAGTACTTACGTTCACACTGAAGACTTTCTTGCAATGGAATTATGTACCTCTCGGTCGGTGTAGGCAGCCCGGCACTCGTGACTTTCGTCCCCTGCCATCTTTTACGATTCTATGACACGAACTTCCGAGACAGGCTTTGAAAACAGAAGTCAACAAAGGCGGAAGAGTGATAACAGTGACCGTTTCAGGCTGTCCTGATGACCGAATGAAGGCCATACAGTAGAACTGTTTGTTGCCTTTCGTGACCACTGATGTCAACTAGCACCAAGTGTGGGTGCTAGAAGCGTGGACAAGTGACAACGTCGAACTAAACTAATACTTACTCTAAAATTATAACGTTTTATGACCTGGTTTAGCACCATAGGGTAGTGAATTAACGGCAATGTCACCACCATCACTAACTGTTACGGTGTTAGACGCTAGAACTCATTTCTAAAACGGTATCTCCAAATTCTCGCCCTTGCAGCTTGGGACTTGGTCAGGGAGTGCCATCACGCCATGTAGAAGCTTCTTACTCTAGACCCGGTTAGCACCTCACAAATCGAGAGAACCATTAATTGTATCGATCGTCTGCACAACGCCTAACAATGCCTCTGTACTGCATGAGTAGAAGTAAGGTGCGGTTTCGGTGGTGAAGGCAGCAAAGCAGTTAGTCGTCTCCTCCCAATCATGGCCCAACGTCGGAGCTCGCTCAATGGCTATGTGTGTGTAGATCTCTACCTGATATGCGGATACGTACATTTTGTAATGTTTCCTGCAAGGTTGTGATTGGTAGCCCTGCTTTCAACAGTGTGCGTTGGCGCGGAGGTGCGAGGTGTGAGTTGTGAGTGCTGGACTGCTGGTAAGTGCAGTGCCTGTGAGGATACCTCTGCAGCTACTTATGTTATGTGAAGCCCACGCTTACCAGGGGGCATGTTAGTTGTTACTCCTGCTCAGACAGTAGTCTCAGTCTGCTTTCTATCTTAGTTCCATCTCCAGAGTCCAGTACATGTGCATGATTGTACTGTATCAAGGAGAAGAGTTCTCGAACTGAGTCTCCTAGTACTACTACGCTGGAAATGGTCAGTGACACTCAGCATCTGATAATCATTGCTGATCGTAATGTGTGTCTTATCTGTCCGGGTCTTCAAAGTTCAAGTACTAGTAACGCCTTCCAAAGACAAGGGCCAAAGGGTCTCTCTCCTTCAGCATCAATCCTCCTCTCCTCTCGAAACCTAGCCGGCATCGGCGAACTACACAGGACACTGTAGACCGCGGTACCGGGGCATCATGAGCTGTGCAGCCTACCGTAGATCTACCGACCAGCCTCCATTGTCCAAAGGTGTCTGATGATTGCCTAGCGGCATGAAACTCAGAGTTACAACCAACCTGAACCATGTGAACGTCCTCCGCTATGCCTAGTAGTAGTGCTAGTAGTAAGTATTGTACAAGGTTTATGTAGACGTAGACGTAGATCTACGAGGAGAATCCAGGGGGTAAACCATGGTAAACGGGTGGTCTGCTCCCTGGTAGGTCTACTGGTACTTGGTAGACCATCGTCGGGGCATCGATTCGTAGGCCTGGTCAGGTACCAGGGAGTCATAGAGCCTAGGGTATACGACTCCCTGTCAGGTACTGATATCTATGAGTATGTCTAGAGACCATTGCCGGGCATCGGCATGGAGACGAAATGCACGACTGCAGCCGGCATGCCAGTATTCTGTTCTCGAGGTTTGTGCGAAATTGTGGTTTCTCGTAAAAAGAAAAGAAACAAGATATTACGGAGGATTAGCAAGACGAAATTCGCGTTCGCGTTCGCAAACATTTTTCGAACTGGATTGCGTACTTTCGCATTTTTCGTTCGGAAAAGTAGTCGGAACACGAATCGCGGATTCGTGTCAGGGCAGTCATAAATTTACCACGCTGTAGTGTCTGTACGCAATGTACGTCGTGTCAACGTCATGCAAGTGCGAATTCTGTCTGCTAATCCTTCTCATCACGCGAATTCCGTCACTGAGTTCGACTTTCCTTGGAGAGCGAACGCGAACGCGAATTTCGTCTTGCTAATCCTCCGTATTAAAGATGCATGATCACGGGACCATCACTCTTCAGTGGATTCCATGACAACCACCTGCCTGGACACAGGCGCGGGGCACAGAATGATCAGTTCAAACAGAATGACTGATAATTAGTGATATGACTATGAGCCTGTAGTCTAGAGTCTGGAGTAGAGAGTAGATATGGTGCACTGCCGAACACAGCTGCTGACTGCTGTACCAGGCGTTGTTGCTCAGAATGAGAAAATTATGACTGGATTGTTTTCCAATGGAAGGAAGAAATGCATGTAATTGCATCAGGGATATCATGATCCTGGTCATGGATGCTGCTTCTTGACAAGGAGCTAGAACACCATGCCGCTGGGTGCGCTCTGGTTTACCGGCCTGGAGTGGAGCTCGTAGCCGTGTCTTGACTCCAAAGCTGCATGAACATCCAGTAGAAGCAGTCATAACTCCGCCAGTTCTGAAAAAGAGCGTTTTGCTTATGCAATGGCAAATCTGGATACTAGTAGTCTTGGAAGCCTCGGTAGTATCTCTACCGCCACCAGCACTGCCGTTAGTAGCAAGGAGTCGACTATTACGCTTCCATCTTTACCTTCTAATGTCAGAAAGTCTACGGGCATCAGTACCATGTCTTTGTGGGATGCTAAGCCGACGAGCGATGCACCCAGTACAACGAAACTTCCTTCGTCAAGTGGCGCTGAACTAATGCCAGTGCACGCAGAATATGCTGTGGGTATTGCTGATGAATCGTGTTCCTCAATAAACGACCACACAGTGGATGGACGGAGAAAGCGGCGGAAGAAGAAGGGCGCATATGGAGATCATCGTGCAATTCTGGACGAGGCAAGTAAAGTCAGCAAGGAGGTTGGCAAGACTGTTGAGCAGCTGCAGAATATTCGTGTCGGTAAGTCAGCGGCGCACATGCACCGAGTCACAAGCATAGCCATATCTTCATAAGGCTTGAGAGATAGAGAGATGTCATATCAGGAAAGGTCCCTATGCATGAACCAAAGGTATCTGGTAATGAAAGATCTCATGGTACCAGCTAGACGAGTATGCTTCTTTCCAACTTGAGTGCAGGAATTGCAATGATGTACATGCATGTACTGTACTAGCTCTCATTACTGTGCTTCGGACAGTAGCAAGTAGCAATACATACTAAGTCGGTATGCTCTGTGCAGATTGCTAGGCTCTTGAACAATTCCTTCTCTGGTGTTCTATGTGTTCCTACCTTTTGTGGTATTGTTACATTATTGTAGCGGTCGTTTTGTATTCTTTGACAATAATGTGACATTGTTATCGATGAGCAGGGTTTGATAGGCGTTGACGTTTCTCCTTGTTGTGCAGCATGTGTATGTGTCTATCTGTTTGTCCGTATGTCCATCCATATATCCATCTATCGGCCTGCCGGTGTGTCTATCTATCTATCTATCTATCCGTCTGTCCATCTCTGTGTGTTTCTGGCTATGCATGGTGTGTGATAGACGGCTTGAATGGTGGAGCATATGGAGAGATCAAAGATGTGACCGATGTACTGCAACAGTTGGTACGTATCAATCATCAGCTCATGATCAGTTTTTAGTGTCTAAAAACCTAAAATAACTGATGTATGCTATCGTAACCTTGGCACAGGACCGAATGTTAGTTCTCAGCTTCCGCCCAAGCTGCATGCATAGGACACCATCATCCTGTGTACCTGGTGTAAGATATTGCAGGCAGCAGCAGGCTGGCAACAGGGTTACTCTGAGTAGCTCTGTTCTGCATCATTGCCGTTGCAACACTAAAGTGCTCTACCTCATCATCTAACAGTATGCAACAAATGATGGTGTTTGAAGTTGAGCTGCTTGTGGAGATTGGCAATGTTCATTAGGACAGATAACAATGAGACTGACCAAACAAGATGAAACAATAGACACAGGGCTCTGCTTGTCTTCCATATCCGTGACGCCTAGGTACCTGCCAGTTGTGCTCCAGTAGGCTATTCACATGGCAATGATAATGTGACACGTGGAAACATCGCATTCCAATGATGATCATCATTTTTTAATTTTTAATGCTGGGAGGATTACACAATGCAAGCAATGAGCCGTGGTTTGTCATCCGGCAGAGGATAATCCATACAATGGCATTCCAGCAAAGGGCCAGCAAGAGGAATAATTAATTACAGCAATCATACCTCATCAGCATCAATGCTGCCTTCCGCCAGAAACTTACATTTCTATTAATAGCCATTCCCCTAAGCCATACTCCGATCCATACACTAGAACAATGTGCCGCAAGCTGTGCCACCAGGGAGGTCAGATCATGAGAAGAGGTTCTTGTGACACAATGGAAAAATCACCGTGGATGTGCTGGCTGTGTTCCTGTGTCCCGTCTGCTTCCAGGAGAAGACTTGCCAGGACCTGCGGGTATCTCTGGAATCTGAGACCATCATTTGGAGCAACTACCGGCATGACAAGCTGATGTTCCCCGTGCGCATGACCAATGAAGTAAAAAGTGAGTAAGCACGACATAAGCACTGTGTCAGCACCGAGTTAGGTTTTTTCAGTCAAACAACTTGCTGTTTATGGATTTGTTGTTGAGTTTCATCATTTCGGTAGGCAGCCAAATAGAGTTTCCAGTCCGGATAGCGTCTTGGCCATTGGTTCATTATCACACTACATCGCACTTACTACTCGAAGCATTAGAGCATGTGTCTTCCAGAATCAGAACTGACCGTTCTCGGCATATTGCTTGGGTTTGTGTGCTGCCTGTAGAGATATTGGGATCACTCAGTCGGGATAACACACAGCAATTGAACAAAGTCAAGGTAAGGAAAGATGACATTATGTATAATTATGTAGTTCAGTGCAATATTGGTATGCAGCATGCATCAGTTCAGTACACCACAGCCCGGGTATGCAGCATGCATCAGTTCAGTACTCCGCAGCCCGGGTATGTAGCATGCATCAGTTCAGTACACCACAGCCCGGGTATGTAGCATGCATCAGTTCAGTACACCACAGCCCGGGTATGCAGCATGCATCAGTTCAGTACACCACAGCCCGGGTATGTAGCATGCATCAGTTCAGTACACCACAGCCCGGGTATGTAGCATGCATCAGTTCAGTACACCACAGCCCGGGTATGTAGCATGCATCAGTTCAGTACACCACAGCCCGGGTATGTAGCATGTCCAGTATTATTGTGGCTATGTAGCGTGCATTCAGATACCACCACTAGCACAGCATGCGGTACAGTAGACTATCCTGTCAAGATCTAGCACACCGGATTCACCCAGGGACTGATGCAATCATTCTGTTGGCTTTGATCTCTTGTGGTGACATGGGGATGTGTTTAGTGCTCCTCTGGCTTGCCAATGTTATGTCACGTACATGTACTTGTATAGTGTCCTCAGCCACCAACACGGACCATCTATGCATGTACTGAAACTGTGTTGTCATGCTACTGTCTCACTGCCGCTCTACTTGATGTGAACGGGTATATCGCCATTGCCTGTGCAGCTTTCAGCAATGAAGTGCTGACAACAACATCATTCTAGGGGTAGCCAGGCGGCCATTGCAGGCTTGGTCTTCTTCACCACTGGGCAGGCATTACTCTCACCCCGCACAATCACACACGAGATATACGATTTTAGTGGGCGTATGTGCAGTAGTCCATGCACTACTTCCCTGCTGTTGTTTCTATTCCCACGCTGTCTGTAGGCGAGAGTTGTGGACGTGGAGAGCAGGGTTAAAGAGAAGGAAGCTGAATTGGAAAGAATCCAGAGTGAAGTCCAGCGAATGAAGTATGTTCTCCAGCAGTAGTTCGCACCAGCAATACATATCCTTCCAACTGCAATCTATCACATCTGCACGGGCCTGGTACTTTGTTGTAAACTTACCCGCTAATTGTATTTGATTCAAATTGATATAATATCAGTTTTCCTGGAGAAAAGTGTGTTATATATGTGCTTAGTCATGACAAGTACTTTGGCACGGTAGGCCGTGTGTAAAATAATTAGACAGCATCAAGTTCTGTACCGTAATGAAGCCAGCACTTTTCTATCCTTATCATTGATCTCTTATTCTGGTCATCAGTTTATCAATTTAATTCTCTTTCGATTCTCGCTGTGTTCCCAGACCCGAAGTTAAAAATGCCCAGAAAGGCCACGAGGAGAATGTTCAGGATCTCAATCGGATCATGGGAGAGAAAGCAAGGTAAGAGTCCTGCATCAGAAACTCAGATCATTGATGAACAGCAATGGCTAATTTTGTCTCTTGGTACCCTGGAGCACATACAGTGGATCTCTTCTAGTATGGCTCTGGTAGCATGTACACTTGCTTAGTAGACACATTGCACAGGGTGTGGATGTATCGTTCTATACTGAACTGTGTTCGGGTAAGACTGAGTGTCTTGGATACTAAATGCACTTTGCTGTTCCCATGGAGTAGGTCTTATCATAGTTCTACTGTAGTCTAGGTGTTGCCTATTAGTCAGGCAAAGCCGCTAACTTGAAGGACAGTGAATACTGTTGGCTATTAGTCAGGCAAAGCCGCTAACTTGAAGGACAGTGAATACTGTTGGCTATTAGTCAGGCAAAGCCGCTAACTTGAAGGACAGTGAATACCATTGGCTATTAGACACCGATGAATCCGTGGTACTCCTTTGCTTCTCTTTTGCTCATAATTGCCCGGTGGTGCCTAGGTGCCGCATTGTGCTGAATGAGAAAATGGCTGAGGATGCTATCATCGTCGAGCAGGTAGGGCAAATGTATACAATATGGCATCACATTCAATATGGCCGGGGGTATCATTTTGGCCCAGAATAGTTCTGACCTAGCTACCCTGTCCCATGGACCATGATGGGTGACAGACCACATGTGTGCATGGGTGTATGCGGTGAAGTTCAATGACATGATTGAACACGAGGCAAGTGAATACTTCTCAATTTCGAGGAACCGTTCTCTCGCTAACCCATTTTGATATTCATTGCAGGTGTACAGCAGTGACATCATGCTTGCAAATCACTGTCTGTTATGCTGGCTTCTTGTCTTGCTTGCAGACGCAGGAATTGGAAGAACAGATACAACGGCTGCGCGATGAACTGGAGGTGGAAAGGTTAGCTGCCGAGAAGGAGATTGATGAAATCGGACTTAAAGTGGTGAGTACAATATTGTCCTATTAAAAAAAGCAACATAGATATGACATTGCAGTATAGTGATCTGTTCAGTGGTATTGACACTCTATTGTAGGTCGGTGCATTCTTCTCTTATTTGCACTACATTTTATTAACGTGTCATCAATTCCACCATTCTTCACTCCTTCCCATGCAGGCTGAGCGAAAGGAGCATATTGCCAATAAAGAAGATCAGTGCTTTGCACTTCGACGGTAAGTGTAGTGCTATGGCAGCATGGATTGTCGACGTAACGAGTTATAGCACAACTCGGTGGCTTGTCTAGTTGTTGCCATACTTTTGCATGTGATTTGCACCAGTTTTGTAATACGAAATACACCGGGTCTTTTAATGCTCAACGGGTATAGCTCTTACATACAAGGTGGAGTAAAAAGGATTGCCTAGGTTGATGCTAGTCTTCTTCCCAATGCCTTAATGGCGAAAGAAGATAACACCTTGCTGAGCAGTAGTGAGAATCTATCTCCAATGAAGCATGGTGAAACGAAGAACCGTCCGTGTGACTCGTGCCCTTTTCTCACATGTGTATTATGATACAGTGAAACCTGATCTAAGCGACCACCGCACGGTGCAAGCAAAAACGGTCGTTAGAACCAGGTCCCATACATTCGGGGCATATCGGATCGTGTACGTAAATGTGCAATTACCGTATTTCCACAAATAGTAGGCCGGTCTACTATTTTTCAACCTCGTCCTAACCCGGCCTTATAATCGAGGACGGTCTTGTATTCGAGGACGGTCTTTTATTCTTTCAACCCAGTTTGACACCGGTCTTCTATTTCTCGCCATTTTCTATTTCTCTTCCATTTTCTTCAACACAGTTTGAGCACGGTCTTCTATTTTTTTCCACAGTTTGAGCACGGTCTTCTATTTTTAACACAAGAACAAAGACTCATTTAGTAGGCCCGGTCTTCTAATCGGAGACGGTCTTTTATTTTTTCAATCGCCCCCTGCCCCGGCCTTGTATACGAGGAAGGCGTTGTATACGAGGACGGCCTTTTATTTGCGGAAATACGGTAATAGTCATGTACCTGTGCACAGGAGTAAGTTTTGGCAATTGTTCAGGTACATGAACATGTACTTCCATAATTATAGTATGATGTACAAGTACTGATAGGTGTGGTGCATAGAACACGTTCGTACAGGCAAAGTACCCATGAATTTTACACTTCACTCAAGTGCATGCAGCGCACCCTGCAATTTCACTTGTCACTTCTAGTTCTGTTGACTGCATGCTCTTGCTTCTGAGCACGCTTCAACCCTGTTGCAGTCAAGCCTGCCAGCCAGGATAGCACTTTTGGCTAGCTTTGGTTGCTGTATGCGGGTCAGATATGGCACTTGGTGCACTAAAAGTCGGTCGCTGGTTGCGCAAGGCAGATGGTTGCTGTACTCGGTGCAGTTTCTGTATAGAACCGTCCGTGCATGGAAAAATGGTCGTTCAAAGAGGTGGTCGCTGAAACCAGAGGTCGCTTAAACCAGTTTTTACTCTGTGTGTGTATATGTGTGTGTGTGTATGTGTGTGTGCGTGCACACATGCGTGCGTGCGCGTGCAGGGAGATCTGTGTAACTCAAGACGAGGCTGAGTTAGTTGGAGCAGAGGTTACGCGATTGAAGGATGCAAGTACAATGTTCTCTTAGGAAGGAATATAGCATTGCGTGTACCCTGGACCACCCAAAGTAGAGTACTGTGTGCACCCTGCATCACCCACTGAGAGAACCCGGGTAGAGGATTGCAGTGCACTCCTCACAAGCGCAGTGAGCTACCCAATAATTGGCCTTGGCATAGAAGCCTACCAAGTCTAATGAAGTGGTTAAAGTCAACCATGCTCACACTGGAGGCTCAGGCATATTTATTGTGCTTGTGTTGTTTTGTCACCAGAGGCTTAGCTCATTTACGTACGATAACCGTCAGTTGGCTATGGTTAAAATGTTGTCAAACTCCCAGGAAGTGACTTGTGACTTGCTTGTACTGTGAGACCAGATATTTACTGTACAGTACTGTTTGTTTTGTCTTGCTGCTACTGCAGGAGCTTAGCACATTGAAAGTAGGATGTAACCTGTGCAAGGCCAGGAAGACTGCAGCCAAAGAGGAATACGATGAGACTGCACGCAGTGTGCTCAAGAAGCAAGCTAAAGGGTGAGGCCGCAGTCTCAGTCTGGGGTTAATGCGGTGGCCACACTGAAGAACTGGACACGTTCCATGTGAAATGTACATGTACATCCCGGGGGTATACTGAAAGATGTACAAGTAACAAAAGAGAGTGCAAACAATTTGAGATCTACAACATCTACAATGTATTCTTTCGGGAACGTCTGTGTTGGAAGTGCCTCCGAATACCAAACCTACTGAGTTTAAATGGGTTGCCAATGAGATCACCATTCCTGTGAATCAGACTTGCTCCATAGCTGTCAGTAGTCCTTTTTCAGTACCAGTGCAATCCAGATAGGCTCATATCACTTTTAGCTGGGCACTGTCCATAACTTTAAAATGTTCGTAACTCTGAATCCCGGCATACGATTCAATAGGGATGGGCCAAGGATCTGGCATATGACGTCACTATTTCCACAAAAATTGGCAAAAGATTATTTGAATTTATTTCCACTAAAACTCCCCCACATGGTACTTGCTAGACCAGGTAGACCGAGGTGCCCGTTACTAAACATGGAGAACCATACATAGCAGTTCATGCATAGGGTGTCCAGCAGGACACCCTATCACCTGGCTTTTGTGCACTGTGTTGGCATGCTTACATATGCATGTATGCATGTGTCGTATTTGTGACGCTTTTTTTTCATTCTTCCAGGCGAGACATAAAAGCAGCACAAGTAGAGGAAACAGCTGCTCATGAAGAGCGCATTCGGCAATTGAAGTTGAGAGAAGAAGAGGTGAGGCAGGGTTCTTTCGGCACAATCATGTGAAAGCCGAGGAAGATGTAGCATTTCACCATCATACTTCAGCATGGTGAATAAACCACGGCCAGCTAGGCTACTTTTAGGCATCATGCCACTTATGTACTAGTGTTTGAATGTTTGAATTAGCTGTCTATCTCTGGCCTTTCTGTCGCTTCAGGCACTGGAGAACACGAGATATGCTCAGGAAGAGATGGAGAAACTGAAGCCGCAATTTGCAAGGGCGCAAAAGAGTAAGATCCTTGCCTTGAACGACGAAATGAACTTCCAACCCCTGTTGTTTATACTGATCAGACCCTGTGTGTGTGCATGCACATGCGTATGTGTGTGTATGTGTGCGCACACGTGTGTGTGTATGTGTGTGTGGGGGGGGGGGGGGGGGAGGGTGTGTATTCATGACTGTGGTCTTTGTGTTTGCTATCATCAACCTAGCTTGTGTAAGGTGGTAAGCAATTTTTTACACTGCAGATCGTCAAGTGCATCGCATCATCATTGCATCATCTACAGTTTATGACCGAGAATACGTTCACATACAATAATTGATGGGGATGAAAGCATTAATTGAAACGTAATCGTGATTTGCTGTTTATTTGCAGTTCACCAGCGCTCTTCGAAGCGGGCAGATGCAGAATCAGGACGGCTAGCTTCAATACAAACAACGTGAGTTTGACTCTGGCAGACTGCATAAGAACTGACCTTCTTTTGTATACTCTTCAACCAGACTTTTTGTTTGTAACACTGACTTTCGAAATATGCATGCATACTGTTGTCATGCCTGTTGTCATGCCTGTTGTCATCGTTGTTGTTTCTTCGCATATATCAGGGTCGATACCTCAAGGAATACATTGATGGCCGCAACTGATGAGTGTAGCAACTGTATCCAAGAGTTGGAGCAGCTGGCGGTGAAAGAGAAACAGATGGAGCAAGGCTTGGAGTAAGTCAACGAATTTTAACAACCCACACAAGCATGTATGCACACACACACACAGGTACACACACACACACACAGGTACACACACACACACACACACACACACACACACACACACACACACACACACACACACACACACACACACCTGTTCCTGTTCCTGTTCCTGTTCAGCACTGCCACAAGGGCCACGTGGCTCTCCTTAAGAGAGAACCGGGGAGGAGGGAGGCCGCTGGCATCTGTGTCGGGTGAGGTCGCTCCCGCGGCGAAAACGGCGGCCACAGTCGGGGCAGGACCATTCAAATGTCAATCGTGTTGCTGCAGTCGGGCGATGCGTACTACGGTGGCATTTGTGTCGTGATCTGTCAGACGGTCTGGCGAAACAGCGGTCACATGTGGGGCAGTGAGCTGCGCAACAGTCCCTTGCAATAGCTTGGGGATGGTCTTCACGGGGCTGAGGATCATGGGGTGTGCATTTATGCCGCGATAGCCCACCACGGCTGCGTAGCCACCGTTGACATTGGGGACATTGCACTGCACCGCGCTGCTCTGCTATGGGCTTGGCCCTTTCATCCAAGCACTTGTGACGGCGCTTGTCCGAAGGCCTGCTAAATACGCGTCGGCAGACAAGACATTGCACATTACGCACTGGTGACGAAGCTGGTTCCAGCTCACGGTAGATGTTCCTCCACCCTGGTCGTGACTGGGTATCTTCTGGCCAAGAGTCCTGTACGTCACATCGCTGTAGATCCGGACTCAGAGCGTCTCGCCAGCGCTTTCGTGGGCCGCATGCAGGTCGGGTCTCCGGTCGGCAGCCGAACAGAACAACCCGGGGTGTCCGTTCCATATCCATGCGCATAACGTGGCCAAACCATTCCAAACGGCGTTGCACAATCCGGTCCTTGATGGGCAGGGGTCTGGCATCATTCCACTGCTCCAGGATGGTGGTGTTGCTGATGTGGAAGTCCCAGACGTCAGAGCGTGACACACCCATGATGGTGCGGAGGCATCTCATGTAAAAAGATGACAGCTTGGCAATATCGGCTTGGAGTGGTACCCAGCACTCAGA